CCAGTCGAATCCGACTCTAGGGTTGCGGTGCTCATCTCATTTTCAAAGACGAAGAGCCAGCGCTGTCCGAAGATGTTTCCGTGGTCATGTGGCCGGCATGACTAAACACCAAGGCGCACGGAACGCTGTTACCTTCCCACCGAAGTGGTACCTATTTATCTACTGGCAGTTTCTTGCTTCCGAAATGCTAGGTTGGCAGGAGCTGGAACTAGAGACAGGAGCTCACTCCATCACGCGGCACCCGAGTCTCGAACTGCTGAATCGACCGACCTTCCACAGCCTGCAGTTCAGCGTCTTAACCACTTGAGCCACCGCAGCTCCCACTATACCTTGTGGCTAATACCCACTCATGGACCTCCACTCCATATGTTAATCCACTCCCTTTCCGAAGCTGTCTATGCTTGCAGCTGCCACCACTTCCTGACGCAGTGAATTCCACTTGTTAATTACTCTTTGGGTGAAGGGCTTACTTTCATCTGTTCTAAGCCTACTGCTCATTAATTTCATTGAGTGCCCACGGGTTCTTGTCTTGTGAGAATGGGAGAAAAGTACTTCTTTCTCAGCCTTCTCTATCCCATGCATAATTTTGTAAACCTCTATCATGTCACCCCTCGTTTGTCGTTTCTCCATGCCAAAGAACCCTAACTTCTTTAACCTTTCTTCTTAGGGAAAGTGTTTCATCCCCTTAATCATTCTAGTTGCCCTTTTCTGCACCTTTTCCAATGCCATAATATCTTTTTTAGGTGTGGTGACCAGAACTGTGCACAGTATTCCAAATGAAGCCGCGCCATTGATTTATACAGGGGCATTATGATACTGATTATGATTAGGGGCTGCAGTGGCTCAAGTGGTTAAGACACTGAACTGCAGACTGAAAGATCGGTAGTTTCAGGAGATCAAGACCCGTGTGCCGCAAGACAGAGTGAGCTCCCGTCTCTGGTCCCCGTTCCTGCCAACCTACCAGTTCGAAAGCAAGAAATTGCAAGTAGATAAATAGGTACCGCTTCGGTGGGAAGGTAACAGCGTTCCATGCGCCTTGGTATGTAGTCATGCCGGCCACATGACCATGGAGATGTCTCTGGACAGCGCTGGCTCTTCGGCTTGGAAACGGAGTCGGATTCGACTGGCTTTTGAGCAAGGGAAACTTTTACCTTTACTATTATGCTACTGGCTGATTTGTTTCTAATTCCCTTCCTAATAATCCCCAGCATAGCACTTGCCTTTTTTATCACGGTCGCACAGTTGACATTTTCATTGAGTTATCCGCCATGACTCCAAGACGTCTCTCCTGATCTCCAGGTGACAGATCAGCTCAAGTGGAGAAAATAGCCCCTTTGGAAAGGAAGATGGATGCTGCGGCATTATGTCTCGCTAAAGTCCTTCCTCTCCCCAAAACCTGCCCTCCTCAGGCTTCACTCCCCCACCCCCCCAAAAAAATCTCCAGGTTTTTCCCAACCAAAAGCTGGCAACCCTAGAGAGCAATCTTCAAGGGCAGCTCCATGGAGATCACATTGCAGTAGTCTAATCTTGCTGTTATCAAGAAATTTATGCCGGCAGCCAGGTCAGGTTGACCGAGAGTCGTATGCTTTAGTGCAGTGATGGCGAACCTTTTAGAGACCGAGTGCCCAAACTGCGACCCAAAACCCACTTATTTATTGCAAAGTGCCAACACGGCAATTTAACCTGAATACTGAGGTTTTACTTCAGAAAAAACAACTCCTACATTAACTTACGATGATCCAAACAAAGTAAGGAAAGCAATCCCAAATGCTTTCATTGACTTAAAATTATTTGGCAGAGAATTCGACACTTTAATGATGGTCTGGGCCCGGCTGGGGCGATGGCACGCGTGCCCACAGAGAGGGCTCTGAGTGCCACCTCTGGCACCCGTGCCATAGGTTCGCCACCACTGCTTTAGTGTATCAGTGGACCAGATCCTTTTCCTTCCAAGGCGGTAAGGAGGGCGAGTGAAAAATGTCCTCCCAAGGCCAGAGGTCATCCCAGTGGTTTGGATGTGCCATTTACTGGGCTATTGGCTCCGGTGAAAAGATCTGTGCTTATTGTCCTGTTGTTTGTCATGCAAATTTACTCAAAGGATCAGGATCTCCTAGTCCCCTTATCTCCTTTCTCCCTTCACACTCCCAGGCTGACCTCGCTTTGTCCACATCCCTGCTTGGCTGGAGCAGGATGGGATAAAAGCCATGACACCCGGGCTTCGGTCTGTTTGAGCCTGTGAGCAGCTTTGGGGTTCTGGTGGGCACAAGATGGCCGCCGCAGGAAGTGAAGCCAGCCCCAAAATGGCTGCCGCAGCTTACCTTCAATCATACAGTGGCAATCCTTCTGTTGTGGTGGCAGCTGCTGCCAAAGCAACATTTTAAAAAATCTGCACAGCCGATCCAATCTCCAATGTCCAATGAGAAGCCTTGCTGGGCAGAAGCCCCACCTGGGCCCACGCACTTCCTTAAGACACTTGGCGGGTGCCAGGAACGGTGTCTGCTGGTGCATTGGCACCCACAGGCACCCCGTTGGGGACTCATGCCCTGTGCCATACCAAACTGCAATCGATTCCCAGTTCCTTATGCCCTGTTACTAGCTTCTTCTGGGGGGGGGGGCACAGAGAGCCTGTTTGGTGTTGTGGTTAAGAGCGCGGACTCTAATCTGGGAGAACCGGGTTTGATTCCCCACTCCTCCACATGCAGCTGCTGGAGTGACTTTGGGTCAGTCACAAGTTCTCTCCGAGCTGTTCTCTCAAGAACGGTCCTCGAAAGAACTCTCTCAGCCCCACCTACCTCCCGCCGGGGTGTCTGTTGTGGGGAGGGGAAGGGAAAGGAGAATGTAAGCTGATCTGAGACTCCAAGTGGAGGGCGGGGTATAATATTTATTTATTTCTCATATTTTTATCCCGCCCTCCCTGCAAGCGGGCGGCTCACAACAAGGGCACCAAGTGCCAGTAAATCCAATCTCCTCCTCCTCCTCCTCCTCCTCCTCC